ATGGTACTTTGGTGTCTTTTTTTGGAATGCTTTGATAGCGGAGGTGGCATATGACCTTCTGCATTTGAGATCTGATGGCTCAGGAATAGCTGTACTATTGGCCATCAGTCCCTATTCTCATATACAGAACTATTGCCAAGCTAAGAAAAGCCTTAGAGACAGCTGGCTTTTCTAAGAAGCAGTTCCCATTGTTACATTCACTAAGACTTCTGGACCCCTGAGGTATACAAGGGAGTGTCTGAGTTGTAAGTATCAAAAGAAATTAATTAGTCCATATTATAATTAAGGCTTTTTTAATTAGCTGAATAATTAGAACTTTCCTTGCCTTACACTGCACCTTTTCCCATAGCCAGATAATCTGGAACTTTAGAGCTATTTACCTAAGTAAAAGGCATTTCCAGCATCAACAATTCTCTTTCTGTAATAAGGAGGAGTAAATAACAGCTCTACTGCAGCTGCAAGAAAGGCAGCGCTCTTTAAAAGTCGTCTGTCAAGTCAGGCTTGTCCCTCAAAATGTATGTTTTGTAAAAGCCTTCAGAAAATGTTGGGTCGAACTGTTTTAGTGTTATTGTGGGGAAATCAATATTTCCCTGCAGCCTTTGCAACCCCCAAATTGTAGCGTGTTGTTTGTGCAGAAGAAGCTGAAAGTGAAACTGTCTGAAAAAGAGAGTAAACCAGCCTGTTTCTATGATTTGCCCTAAAAGCACCCGAGGTAAACAAAATGACATACTTGAGCAGTTCTCCCAGTGTAAAGAGATGAAGGGGGGTGATGGTGGGGTTTGGGGAAGGGGGTTTGATTCTGTTTCATCCTTTGTCCCTCTTTCCTCCCATCTCCTTCAATGCCGATCTCACCCTTCCCATCTCCTTCATGTTACTCCTATGCTGTGCAGCATATCTTCCAGGCGTTGCTCTCCAGTGAAAGCACTAGGGAAATCATGCAGGGTTCCCATGTGCTTTGGCACTGAAATGACTGAGTTGCTGCAGTGGTTCCCCCACCATTGGAGAAGAGAAAACCTTTTCGTTTTGCTCTGAAATGCCAATATTCAGAGCATCAGAGGTGGGAGCACCAGATCCATCAGGTGTGATGCATTTGGGAGCCTTGAGCTGGCAAAGACATGGACAGCATTCCCGTGTATCCCTGACCTCCTGTTATGGACTCTGCCAGAAGCCATGGCCTTAAGTCAAAGGCTCTGTAGGATTAGGTCATGGTTAGGTCATACCAGGAGGAACAGAATTTATGGTCTTAGGTACCATGGTTGTAGATGGGTATTTAAAGCTGTTGAAACTGCATTCAGAAAGGAACCACATTGGTTTGGGGAGCTTGGCTGAAACCTCTGTGAAGAATATGAAAGCAGAAAGTCTGAGAGGCACATAACTGCTCACAGACACACCGGGGTGGATGCAGCAGCTTCACAATGTGCTGTGTTCACCTGCATCAGACAGAAAAAGAAGGTTAAGCCAGGTTGTGGGAGCAGGAGGGCAGAGAGCAAAGGACCGGAGGAAAGAAAACGCAGTGCTGCCTGGCAGAGAGGCTGCTCTCTTTGTGTGCTTTGTGCTTGGGCTGGAGCATCTTCACAGGGCTTTTTCTCCCTCTAATCTGGAAATAATTCTGATTTATTTTAAGCCTTCTATTAAGACAAGTCACGCAGCACTGCCTGGCTGGCAGCAGGAGGCTCTGTGTGTGTGTGTGTGTGCCCGTCAATGTGTGTGTGTATCTCCAAGGGTGCTGCCTGCCTTCTTTAGTTGACACTGCAGTCAATTATTGTGTTTTCAATTATATATAAAAGGCAATGATGGAGTTTTTCAGCTTTTATAGGGCCACAAATCACAGGGTCCTTCACTGCATGAGCAGCGTTGCTGCCACAGTGTAGCATGGGAAATCACAACTTGTATGTGCAGTCTTGCAGAGGAACCAGTGCCATCAGGGACCCGCACACTACAGGAGGACCACCATGGGGCAGGTGAGCCCCTGCTCTCTGCATGGCCCTTCAGGCACCATACCCTGTCTGACAGCCAAGGGCAGTGTGGTTCACGGGTTATGCCATGAAAGGACAGGAAGATCTGTTTTCTGTGTGCTTCACGTGTTCAGCAATGTGTTTTTGAAGGAGCTCCGCAGCTTTCTATCATAGAACCATAGAATCATAAAACCATAGAATGGGTTGGAAGGGACCTTAAGATCATCCAGTTCCAATGCTATGGGCAGGGACACCTCACACTAGACCATGTCGCCCAAGGCTCTGTCCAACCTGGCCTTGGACACTGCCAGGGATGGAGCATTTGCCACTTCTTTGGGCACCCTGTGCAAGTGCCTCACCACTTTCACAAGGAAGAACACACAGGATGAGCAAGGAAGAGTTACAGAGGCTGGGTGAGGAGGTCATTCATGGGAAGGGTTATGATACAGAAAACAACATGGGCTACAGCACAACTTACCCTGAGTATCTTAGGCACACAATGGGTCTCTTGCCAGCCCAAAGCAAATGGGTAGATCTGAAGTGAGCAGGCTGGAAAACTGTTGTAAACTCGTGTCTGTTTCACAGAATGATCATTTAGTCATACATAATATAGTCACCCAAAGCTGTATTTGCAAAGCTAACACTAGAAACAAAGGGTTGGCACTGGCAGATGAGTGTTTTCCTCTGAAACTAGACTCTATAAGGGAAGCCGGAGGATGTAACAGTGCATGGGCACCACAGTCCTCATCAGCAGCCAAAAGATGCTGTCTTCCATCCAGAGATCTGAACAAGGACTCACTGCTGTCAGGCTTGGTCTTTCCTCAGCTTTGGTGTTTCGGTGTGTTAATGCACATGGAAATGCCCCCACATTGCCTGGTACAAGGCAGTATGAGCCACGCTGAGCTTCTCCAGTGTTGTGCAGTAAAAGAGATATAAGCCAAGCCATTTTTATTCTGCTCCATGCTGGCAGGGAAAGGGGTGTCTGAAGGCATCACCAGACTGCATTTTACTGGTGGCAGATTGGTGGCAACCCAGCAGTCAAGTCCATGAGCGCGAGGCTGTGAGAGGCTGAGCAGCACAGGAATAGAAATCAAATCATTGCCACATAGGGTGAACAAGAACACTTGAGTTCTGAGACTCCAGTAAGCAAGCAAGTGAGAAAAATAAACAGAAGTTGTCAGCTGTGCTGGATAGACTGACTGCAGTGCGGACTGGGAAAGGAGTAGTGACCGTGATGACTGGGATGGAGACATGTAGAATGATCCCATTCCATCCAGGCCATACCCCAGGAACTTATGGTCCTTTGCATAATGAGCTACAAGCTGTAATAAGTAGAGTAATAAATGGCATAAAGAGGATCCTGTCATGGTATGGAAGGGGGATCCCATCATGGTTTAGAATACCCCTAATGCAGGGAGGCAGGGACCAGCATGAAAGAGAGACCGCTGAAAGACTTGGTTACCCCTCCAAGCTGAGCTTTCACTATGGAATGGGGATATTTGTGTGGAGTGGATTGTGGCTTTAGGCAAACAGCCCAGTTAGACCAATTCTGATGGAAATCCTGGAGCTAATGCTGGCAGAATGCCCACTGATTGGACTCTGCATGACACTGCTCCCAGCAGTGGGGAGAGAGAGTAGGCTCTGGTTGTTATGATGAGTGTTGGGATTTTGAACTGGTTTGGCATCGAAGCTGGAAGAAAATTAAAACTCAGATGAGGGTTTGGAATCATTAGTGCTAGAAAACAGCTCCTGGGATAGCTGCTGCATTATTGCTGGGGGAGCCTGAGGGCCCACTGGTTCCAAACTGGGATTCAGAATCGCAGTGCTAGAGGTTAGGCATGACAACAGGACCTGGAACTCTGCTAACGTAAACGAGGGGCTGGGAGGGTTCATTGGAAAGAAAAGGAACTAGAGACAAATCTGGTCAAAGCCACTGGTAGCAGTGATAATAACTTCCACTGCTCAGGGTCGTGAGGACAAACCAGCCCAAAGCTCTGGAGGATGAGAGGGAACTTTGCAGTCCTGCAGCGTGTGGCACTCTGCCCGCAGGAAGGCAGAGGGTGTTTTGTCTCGACTGGATAAGTCTTGGAAATGGGATTTGAAGTAGATGTGAAACAGGGTTTGGAAGGAGCTAAGGAGCCTGGGAGAAGACCTGGCTAGGTGGACTATAAAACCCATTAGAGTCTTAATGCATAAATTGGCAGAACTGTGCAGTAGCAATGAAAACCGAGATACTGGGAGCCCGAGCTGTTATTAGATTCTGGTGCCTCAGTGACTATTGGAATTGCTATTTTGTGATAGTGTGGGTGCCGACAAGGTACATCATGGAGACAAGAGTGTACAGTGGTCTCCTGTGGTGCAGGGAGTGTATCAGCTCTGCTCCTACACCCTCTCCCAGTGCAAACTGCTCACTGCAGAGTGTGGCTGAGTTTTCTTGTATGCAGTGTCTTGTGCAGGATAATAAAAATGGGCTTTTCAGCAACTATTCCTGAAACAAAATAGGTTACCTTAGATCTGACTAACTTTGGAAGGATAATGCAGAAGTAGAAGCGCTCGTAATTGCCTTACCTACAAAATGATGTACTCCTGTAAAGGTTCCTGAAATAGTCAGGCCACCTCAGGATGAGGGTGAGTTACCTGTCTGCAAGCATAAGCCTGAGATAAGTTGGACTATGGAGTATGGAAAGATTAATGCCTTTGCTTTAATAACGGGGCTTGATCCAAGACTGCAGAAAGGATGTAAGTACCCAAGCAGAGCCCAGAAAGCCTGGTGGATCAAGGAATGTCAGTGCAGTGACCCAGTGGGTGTAATTCCCAGGGCGGCTGGTATTAAAGGGAGATAGAAAGATGCATCTGCCTGTGGATTTCAGAGCATTAAATGCTGTAGCTCCGCAAACATCACCTCTCCTTGTTAAAATGTCAGAAATTACGGCTGCAGTAGTACAAGGAGCTAAGTGGTTTTCAGACATAGAGCTAGCAAATGCATTTTTCTTTAGCCTTTTAGCAGAGAAATGTTGGTAAAAGTTTGTGGTTTTTACATTTCAGGAGGAACAAAATTGTTCCACGTGAGCTCCTCAAGGATTTCACAAGCTCCTGTGACCTGTCACATCCACATCATCTGAATGTGGGAGAAGGCAGCCTGCAGGTCCAGGGAGCATGTAACATCACATATGGATCACACCTGAACTGGAGGGATTCTGAAGGACAAGCCTGTCAGCAGAGAGAAGCTTTTGGCTGCAACCCAGGAAGAAGGATTTAAAGCCAACAGACAAAAGGTTCAATTAGTGCAACGAGAGGTAATATATTTAGGAGCAATGGTAGGTATTGAAGGCCAGACTTGTGATAAACAGAGTGTGGAATTAATGCAGACGCTGCCCAGCCCCACTGCTCTGCCTAGCGAAGAGCGCTGCGAGGCACATTTAATTGTATGCAGGATTTTATTCTGATGCTCACTGAAGTGAGTCGTCATCCTGCTAAGCTCTTAGAGAAAGCTAGGCAGTGGGAGCAGGGTGCAGAGAACCAGGCAGCTTGGCTAGAGCTGAAGCCAGCCCCAGCCCAGGCTGCAGTGGTGGGCTGTCTGAATGCAGGAACCCTCTTCATATGTGGTTTGCCTCTCTTATCCAGGAAGGAGGTGCCAATCTGGCACAGAAGCCCATGTTCCAGGCTATTGTCTCTGTATCTCCAGTCTTACTGACACCACGACTCCTTGTCAAAAGGAATGAGGATCTTTAGGCTGGAAATTGGGTGATATCACTGGAGGAGGGCCAGTGGCACAACACACCAGTCATGCTTCTTTGGAATACATTGTGATCAGTACAGCACAAGGTGGTGTATATCTAGCTCTTGGTCAGCACAAGGGACCCTCAGATTAATGAATTAGGAATTAGACCTGGGAAAGAGCACGAGACACAGCACCTCCATGTATTAATGGTGGAGTGTGCTGAACATGAGTGTCAGATTCTGCAGCCTCCTGATGTGCAGTGGCCTGTGCAGGTTTAATTGTCTCTGTCAAAATACATCCACATAAGCCAGAACTCTGCTTTACAGGTGGTTCAAGCTCCCATAGGATAAGGCTTGCAGGAGTTTTGCTCCAGTCCATGTAAAGAAGAGCAGGAGGCAGCGGGGCAGGTCTCGTCTCGCTCAGTGGAAGAGGCAGGAATCCCAGCTGCATTGTAAGGTGTGCTGCCCTACGGTGGGAGCAAACAGGGGTGAAGGATTTCATTTTGCTGAATGAGGGTTTTGCCCAGCTAAGAATAAAACTGCACACAGCAGAATATCCACAAACCTCATGGTAGGAAGAACTTGGCTTCTAAAGGAAGCTATAAGGGTGTTAGTACAGGTGAACAGCAAAAGTTAGGATATGATGTTCCCATCTAATTGGCTCCACAAATGACTGTGGTCAGCCGTGATTATGTTCCTTTTAAGACCATGACATGAAGGGAGATGTGATTGACAGCCACTGGTGGTGAAAAACCTCTGTAGCAGATGAATAGCAACTGAAGGGTCTCACAGATTAATGGATAAAAGGATTTGACAAACAACTGCAGTAGGATCATCAAGAAATAGCTGAGCAATTAGGGCAAAATGTTCATAGAATAGATAAAAGGTAGAGAACGGTAAATAACCAACATGAAGAATGGCAAATAGGCAGCCAGGTGTATATCATGGGTTTCCTGGAAAGAAACACAACTTGGGCTGGGATGGAGCTGGCAATAAACACAGATAAAGAAAGGCATTTCCATTGTATATTAGTTCATGTAAGTTCTGACAATGTGAGGCAGTTCCATCAATCATAGCCCAAGCTTTGGAGAGCAGAAAAAGGCTAAGCTACAGGAAAAATGGTCTTTATTTTTTAAGATCACATAAAAGAGCGACTGTTAACCAGTCACTAGGCTTGGATCAGCCCACAAACATGGATTTGCTGTCATGTGTAAGAATAGCTCTTCCAGCTGCTGTGTTGCGCATTGATGCTGCCAAAGCTGGGAACATGGTTAACGGTGCTGGGTTCTTTCTGTTCTGCCTCCTGTGTCAGGGAAAGGTCCACATGGAGTTCCCTTTGTGTTACAGTAGGGAGAATAGGACTGGAAGGAGCAGAGCTGTCAGTGATGCTGCCCAAGGTGGTTGCATCCTCCTCCTGGCTAGTTTGCACTTCCTCTGTCTGAGCAAAGCACACTGTACAGTCAGTATGGATGGTCAGTGTGATAAAACCATTGAATGGGCCTTGATACACTCGATATTGGACAGCAGCATGGCCTGTGTCCCTGAGATGTCCTAGTTCCCTGATCGTCCAGAACTGGGATGGCTTAACGCTGCATTAGTCCCACTTTTCCACAGCTAGTCATGCTTTGTTGTGGCTGTTAAAAGAACAGTGTCACCCAACAGTTCCAAAGTCCTCACATTTGATTTCTTTTGCTCTTCCTTCCGTTTTACAGAGTCCCATCCACTTCATTTTGCAAGTATAGTAACAAGAGACATCCCTCTTTCCTGAGAGCCCAGCGGGCTGCTAACAAGTACTGTAGACACAGCCATGCACTATTGTTCCTGTCACCTCTAATCACACAGTGATCACCATCATGCCAAATCCCTTCCTCCCATCTGCATGCCATGAGTTACGTGGAACACTCCCTCACCCTTCAGTGCAGCCTGAGCTTCTCTTTGCTTTCTCCATCTTTGGCCCTCCCCAGTCCGTGCAAGCAATCCAGGGGCTCCAAAGAGGAAAAGTGCCTTGTTACGATGAAGGGTCTCTAACTCACTACTTTTTCCTGTCAAAGCGACTAGTTTCTTTGCCATGAACTGGAATCCCTTGAGAGAAAGCAAGCAAAAACCGTCTTTCAGCAGCCTTTTCTCTTTGCCCTCCTGGTGCAGGTTGAAACCGAGAAGAAAAGTGCGGGGTGGGAAGATTAAAAAGAAAAGCAAAAAACGCTCAAAACGGCAGAATTTCCAGAGCCCAAACAATCCATGGGACAATAGGAGATAATGATTCCACCTCTGTGCCCTGCTCCTGCCAGACGGGCGTTTTGAACACGGCATCTGCCGGAGGTGGTTAAAGACCCGAGCGCTCTGAACGTGGCGCCGTGGTGATGAGCTGAAAAGCTTGTTGCTCACGTTGCAAACAAAGACTTAACAGAGGGCAGAGGTAAAACCATCTGGGACCCGGCCTTCTAATCAGGCCCATGCTGTGAGCTCATGGTATTAATCCAAGAGCCAGTGACACAAAGGCGGGAGGACTGCGTGACCCCGAGCCCGTCCAGCGGTAGCTTACACTACCCAGTATCCTGTGTTCCATTTAATAAACTCCATTGATACGTTTAATAACGACACCTTGTGTTTCCACAGTTTCATGTGTGACCTCGCTGTGGTTGCTACCACAAACACAAAGTAAGAGAGTCAAGGATCATTAGCTGAGGAGGCAAAACTGCCCCTTCTCTTGCTCTTCTGTTTCTCCTGTGAACATCAACTGCTTGGGAATCAGCGATTGCTTGTAATCCTACCTGTCTCCATTGCAGACGGGCCAGGCTTCTGTGAGAGCCTGGTTAAAACTACAACGTTTCCTGCAGCTTGGGGAGCTCTCATCCTGCTTGCTGCCTTTGGATGCCTCATGCCATCACCCACCTTCTGCCCAGGGCTGTGTTTAGGGTCCCCCTGTAGCCCCATGGGCTGCTCTCACCCCATCTCCTCCCAATTCCCTGCTGAGGAAGGAGCATCTGCAGCCACCAGGGGCCAGAGGAAATCCATTAGTAACCCCCAAGCACCCTTTGGAGGGTCCAGGGCTGCGCTGCATAAGCCAGGGGCCTTTGGCTTCTCATAAAGGTCATCTGCCTCAGCAGGGGAAGGAAAAGATTGATGTGTACCTCTGCAGTTCTTTTTTCTAGGCAGACTAATGAAAACTAGGTAAGAAAAATGTCTGGTTTAAAACCTAGAGGCAAGGGTTTGTTTGGTACATTTTCTGTTAAGTTTGGACTTTGGGTTTGAGGCTTTTTGGGGTGTTTCTTTAATGATGATGTGATTTAGTGGTGGGTTTTTTGCATTACAGTGTCAGTTGTCAAACAAGCCTCCTGATTGATTTGTTTTTTCATGTCTAGCTTTCAACATCCTCAAAGGCATCTAATTGTTCAGGACATACTGAGGATCTGCACTCAGAGAAATCAAGCCTCGAGTGGAACTCCCCTGAAAGCAAAGGCACCGGGAAGCCAAGATTGGTTTTCAGCAAGTAAGTGGTTTTCATTTTTCGGCTTTCTCAAGGACTCTTTCAAGGGCTAAGCAGATGGCTGGGAGATCCACAGAATGGAAACCTGCCGTTTTAATGGGGACAGCAAAGTGTGTGTGGAGGGGGGTTGGTTGGTTGGGGTTTCTGTTAGTTAAATCGCCTTTTTGTATGACAGCAATTTAGGCTATTTATGCAGCTGAGATGCCAGTGCAGTTTTTGTGCGTGTGGACTCTTCCTCTCCAACAAAGGACAGAGGAAATTGCCACACTAATTTTCTGAGCTTCCTAACGGCTCTGAAGCACGACCAGAAGAACAATTTCTAACTTAAAAATACAGAGGCACGTAAAAGAATCAGGGCATGCACAGACCAGTTCAGTTCATTCAGCCTCTTGGAAACTTCAGGCAGCTATGGCTACACGCTCATTCCACCCTAGATGAAGACATGGGCCTGTGCTGAAGATAGGGTTTTCCAGGAACATTTAGGGCTGTGTTAGTCTTTGGGCAGCCTGGAGTAGCCATCAGCCTGCTGTGCCCAGTGATGTGCCTCAGGGAGGCTCTAAACCCTTGCTGCTATAAGGCGTGATGGCCACAAGCAGGCAAAGTCCATGGGATGGGCAGCACAAGCCACAGGCTCCCATGTCCCCCAGCCCTGAGCCTGGCCAGGCAAGATAGAGCACATCTATACCCTGAGGTACAAGCAAAACCAAGCCTTTGTACCCTGGGAAGAGGAAACGAAACCCAAACCCCAGCATATTAACTCATATCTAGTGCACACCATCTGGACCTACCAAAATGCCTTGTTACAGAGGAAAAAGAATGCTGATCTTGCATCTGCAAGTGGAAAAACTGAGCTTTAGGTGATCCCTCTCCTTAGGGAGCCCCATGCACTCCCAGGGATCCTATGCCCACTGAGCATCGGCTTCTCTGCTCAAGTGCATACGCACCCCACCTCCCTGTGTCTATGTTTGGATGTATTTGCTCTATAGCTGTCCCACACATTTTCCTCGCTAGCCTGTCATAGCCATTACTAAAATATGCTTATCTCATATATGCAAATAGCAGGTTATTTATAAGATTCTTTAAAATTTCCATAATTGTGCTGTAAAAAAAATCTTTTTGCTTATCTCACAAAGTGTTGTAACCGCAGCGTTACTTTTATTGAAATCCAAAAATCACTCAGCAAAATAAGAAGACTTTAAAAAGTGACTTATGTTTTTGAAACAGAAGGGAAAGTGAGCAAGGAAACCAGGGCTTTATTATTTTAAATTAGAAAGTTTAATGCTCACCGAAAAGGATATAAACTGTAAATGTATTTTAGCAGTTCCTAGAGAAAAAGGGAGAGGTTTTAATAATAACACTGTGTGTGCTCTTATATCATTTTCATTAGAAAAATCTCTGAGCTCTTTCTGGTTATTAAAGAATGGAATGCCTTGGAAGACTCTGGGGAGGCACTATAGGGAAGTAAGGTAACAAATATAAGTCCACATTATGCTCCATACTGTGATTACTTGGAACTTCCCAGCCACCTTGGGAATCTACAGCCGCCTGCTACAGCTCAGGGTTACAAGTCTACCTCCCAAGCACAACCTTGCTGGGCTGTGATGGTAGCTGGCTGTGGCAATGCAAGAGGCTTCCTTGCATGTACCCACTCATTTCATGGGTGAACCAACCCCTGGAAGGGGTTTCCCATACTCAAAGGTGTGGAACAGAAATGAACAACAGGGGGTGGCCAAGCCCTTCACTGTGCTCATCATGGGCTCCTGTCCCTTGGGGAGCGCTGCAGGGATTCCTCTGCTTCCTTTGGGAGGGGTCTGACCCCATGTGAGTAGATTGCTCACTGGGCACAGGAGCATTCCCAGGCAGGCTCTGACCATTCATCACGGGAATGATCTGGAGAGGACAGAAAAATAAGATATTAGCCTATATTTAGCAAGAGTCGTAAAATGTTCCCTGGAACAACAAAAGGAGGAAGAGCGGCTGTAAAGGTAGAGGATATTCCCTGGGCTGATGAAGAAAATAAAATTAAGACAATCCCTGGTGTTTAATTTCAGCAAATACAATAGACGGAGTGAGTGCCCAAAGAGGAACAGTGTGTTAACATAACTTAGACAAACAGGAGCCAAACTGTTGGCCTGACAGAAAGACGAGAGAGCCCATCGGTGCAATGGAGGAAGAGAGTAAATTGAAAACCAGATGGTTCATAGATGTGATTGCATCTTCAGCTTCAGCGAGAGGAAAGAAGGAAGGGGAATACGTATACTATAGGCAGGCCAGGAAGACAAAAGCTGGAAAAACATACACAGGGAGAAGAGGCAGACTTGTCATAATGAAGTTAATTAAAATAGCAGGATCTCAAGTTATTTTTGGTCCCAGTGTTAGAAAGCCCAGAATTCCAAGCCTCATTCTTCATTAATACAAAACCTTTCCGATTTCATCCATTCTCAGAAAAGGGACTTCTTCCTTTCTGTGCTAGATAGTGAGTCAAGGCAGATGGGAATTATTCTGAGCTTGGAGAAAACAAAGAAGTGCAAATTAATGGCTTACTGGCAGAAAGGCAGTTTCAAGCAGTTTGCCAAGGCACATTTTATTCCTACACTTATCCTACATGCATGATTTTGTCTTTGATTCTGTGTAGATCAGAAGTGCATGGCCAAGCAGAGATACCTATCTATATTGTGGAGTGGGCATTGAAACAAGCAAGCAAAAAGCAGATAAAAGAAAAGGGGGAAAACCAATCTTATAATGGCTGGTGCAATGACTCAACAACTTGCTTCATAGCACTCAGTAGACAGAAAATAGAACAAGCCCGTCTTGCCAACTTGAACTCATCCCATAGTTTCTCTGTGGGTTTATATTCATCTGTGCTTCACTGTCACACATATAGATATGTATGTATATGCACATCCATGTATTACATACAAAGAAGCACTGATTGGTTGCAGGGGATCCTCATAGCCATAGGGACCCTGGCCAGGATCCTTGTTCTGCCATAATAAGAAGCTTTGCCTTTGGCTTCAAAAGTGGCATGGCTTCCCTCCAGCTTCCTTTGCAGCAGTAAAGCTTTAAATCTCTAGCTGGACTTTCTCTGCCCAGGACCATACTTCAACCCCTTCTGTGAGAAGTGTGGACATGGTCTGACTGTGCGAATGAATCACACACAAACCATTTCAGATATGATACCGGCAGTATTTCAGTCATCATTTGGCAAGAAGGTGGAGGCAGAAACTCAAACTGCTCTTGTGTTGGAATAGTGTTGATTCTTTCATAACCATTACCTCTCAAGACCTCAATTTTATATCCCTTGGGAACAGATTCTCTCTGTGCTTGGGAGATTAGAAGCAGGAGATCAGGAGATGGTTCAGTTCTTGTTATGACTTTCAGCTGCTTTCCTAACTTCCTGCCACCTTTTATTCCCCTTGTGTAAAATTAGGATAATGACATTTCATCCTATGACAGCAGTTTAATGCATTTATGTCTAAAATGCTCAGGTAAAGGTGTTAATACCTTTCAGAGATTATTGTTTATTACCACAATTGTGATTACTGATAATTCTGAGAGCTTCACTCTCGCATAGGTAATAAAAGCAGACTGTTATGAACATCTTGTCTTATTTTGAACTTAATGCCAATTTTGTTCTGAATTAATTCCTTTGAATAGAATTATTCCTGAACTACATCAACTAGGGACCGGCATCTGACCCCCAGTGTTTAAGAACTGCAGATAATCATGGGTGAAAAGAGACGAAAATACATTTTATCTTAAGAAGTATCTACTGTTGTGATAGAGACTGAAATTAAAGTATAATCCAGAGAGAGGAGGGGGGGAGAGTATTCTTTAATTAAAATCAGCTACCTCAAAAGATGGATATTCTCAGGAGTGATATTTGCAGTGTGCTGAAGGCTTTCCACTTAAACCCTGGATGATGCAAGGAAAGAGGATTCTCAAGGAGTAATATTGGCATTAGCAGATAGCCACTTGCCACTGCACAATAAGGTGGAATTTGCAGAGCAAAATATACGGACAATAGAACGGAAAGATGGACAAAATAGGAAGCTATCTGAAACAAAACCTCATGATTATCCTGCAGCGAATGAATAGTTTGGCAAAGATAGAGACCCAAGATAGAGACTTGGAGATAGAGAAAGAAAAATTAAACCAGAAGCGGCCAAGATCAATGAAAACAATCAGCACTTTCTGCCAAGAGATATGTTAAAAAGACTGAAACTGAGGCTTTAGATAACATGTTCAGAATGATCTTCTGTCCCACCCACCATCTCCATAGCAATTAATGGTCGCAGCCAAGGAAGAATTATGGTTCCAGCCATGGATGTTGGACAGACCCCCTATGAAAGGCTGTAGGTGAAAGGCACAGTGTCCATTTTGGGGTCGTTCTGGTCGGGCTGGTGTGGATAACACCTTCCTCACCTCCGGAGAGATGCTGCTTCTGACAACATGGGAACCACAGAGAGTGCACTTGAGGGGAGTACTTCTGACGAGCGTTCCACAGCGAATCCTGCTCTGTTCTCATTTTAGTTACCATCACAGATGGCTTCCTGCAATACAAAGAAGGCTCCTGGCAAGGCAGTTTGCTGGATAATGTTAGAATTGGATGTGATGGGAGTATTACCTCACAGAAACACCCATTCACCAGCATTGATTTCATTGTGTGTTCAGCACAGCAGATTTGAGCAGCTACTTTGCACTGGCTCCCTCACACAGATACAAGTCTCTCCTGCATGAATCTTGTCTAACAGCTATCTGCAACCAGGTGGTCTCTGTGAGAAGTGGTTGTGCTGCAGGGAGGAAAAGTGTATCCTCTTTTGTGCCTTGCCTTTAAAAAGCCTATGTCAGTGGTAAAGCGGAGATGCTGCTGTAATGGAGGCTCTGTGGGGATCATGGGCAATGGCATGGGCAGCACCCTCCCTGTGCCCTGGGCACTCTGGTGCTAGGGAGAGGATGCACATAGCTTCAGTGCCTAGAAATGTCTTGTAGCTTTGCTGTAT